GTTTCTGGTGTCCATGTAAATGTTAATCACACAACGACATGCCTAGGTAGGGTACCTAGGCAGGTTGTTGTGTCTAGAATATCACAAACCGACTGCATATTACAAGACTGTGGTTTTACTACGCTTCACACTAGCTAGTGTTGTACAGACACATTTTATAATCAGTGTAGTGTAATAAAGTGAGATAACAATACACTTCCTAACATCGAATTGACGACCGGCCGACGATAAGAGGGGCTAGTGATGTGATGTGTGTTGTTCCGTTCTCCGGAACTTAAGTTTTTATGAGGTGTCGTGTATTTTGAGTCTGTACATTTTTTTTATCAAACTTAGTTCATACTAAATACATGGGTAGTACAATACCAGTCGACCTTTGGTTAGTGCAGAGAATCCAGTGGTATGGTAATTTGTTTATCTAGATATTGGTGCCCAGCTTTTGGTTAATTGTTTTAAAATTGGTGTTGTGTTGATTAGTTTTGAGGTACCATAGACGAACAGCTTTTCCATGTAAAGGTTAAAAATTTTGTAATTTTCCTTAACCCGGAATTTCAACCAACTCAGCAAACACGCTAGCGATCACTACGCCAACTACAATTTATTATATTATTCATAATAAACAATAATTGTTACGTGTACAATACTCACAAGTCTGCTAAGCAATAAAAATTTTAATTTTCCTTGTTTCGCTTCTCTAGGTGTTTGTAGGCCTACCTCAAAGAAGTACAATGCTATTTATTTAATTATTTTACATATAAAACGTTGCAAACAAAATACTATAAATCACTAGTTCAACAACACAATCATAGAGATAAAGATCCATTCAAAGAAATTAGTCACTTTATATGTTTATTTGATCAATTCTCCGAATGAATCGTAGTCAAAGTAATTGTTTTGATACGACATTTTTTTTTAATTAAATGTATATTAAAAATATTATGTACAGGTACCTACCTGTGTCTGAAAACTTAATAGTTTTCAGACTATTATAGTGACTACACAATTGGTCTATATGGTCACAACAATAGTGTACTATTGAATATAACAAGCAAATAACTCCACGAATTTATTTTATAGGTCTTTCATCATATAGTTTACAAGAGTACCATTTCTGAGTCAACAAACGACTCATATTATTATCCAAATACCTAATTACATGAATATAAAATCACAACTTTACCTATAACGAAAGTAATCGACATGGGACCCGGAAAATATCGACAAAAACTATCGACGTACGCCCATCACTAAAATAATATCGCCGCTATGACACAACTGCAGTCAGTGTGTCACTAGCTATGTGAACAAGACGATTTTAATGTGATTTTTCCTTTAAATATTACCTTATTTAATACATATATAAGTTTAATTTTAAATAATATATACGACAAATATGTAGTAGAAGTGATTTTGTGTTAAATCGTAGTTTAAATCGTGTTCGTTATATGTTTTATTATGTTTAAGTTAAAGAGAGGAAAGACGTGGTTCAGAGAGGTAAATATTCATTTAAATTAATAATTTGTTCGTATTAATAGTTTTAGGAGTGGCTGGCGATTGTAATTCGTGAGGTTAAGCGGTAAAATCGCGGCTAGTATAGTGATGGGTGGTTCTATGAGTGATTTTTAGTGCTTGTGTACGCTCCTTATGTGGTTGTTCATAGTACTCTATAGTAAATACTACATTCTTAAGTTTATTTATGAGTATCTATCGTATTGGACCTTATCTCTAAGTAACCAAGGTTCAAAATAAATTAACAAGTAAAGAATAGTTCCTAACAATTGTTCAACCAATGCCAAAATAGTTCCAACGTTATGTAAATAAAATACCCACACTCGCACATCAACCTATACTAATCCATCAAATGTCTACAACGGATTATCAACCTTACGATTTAGTGATAAAGTTGAGAATGCACTGCCAATATGTAAGACTAGTATATTATGATATGCATTTGTCTTTAAACAATGCACCTTCTAAACAGTTGGTAGTATTTTTTCAATACAATACTAAATAAGGCGATGTTAAATGGTATGGCACAATATATCAAGTTATGCAGAACTAGTATAAACTGATCGTCGTATATGCGGAAAGATCATGTAAAGCTGGTTCATGATATAGTGGTTTTGTTTAGCTTGATTTGTATCCGTGTTCTCCTGACTATTGAAACCATGTGTCACTGAAATATCAATTGATATTTAGTATATTAATTATACCTATCTTATATCTTATACTATTATATAAAGCGGAACAGTTTGTTTTTTTGTTTGAACGCGCCAATCTCCGTAACTACAAGTCTGATTTGAATAATTCTTTTTGTGTTGGATAGCGCATTTATTGAGGATGGCTATAGGCTATAAAACATCACGCTACGGCCAATAGGAGCTGAGCAGAGCGTGTGAAACCGCGCGGAAGTAGCTAGTAATATTATAAATTGTGTGTATATTTGTTACTCAATTACGCCAAAACGGCTAAAGCGATCGGGATGAGATTTGGACAGAGAATAGATTATGGTCAGTATAACACATGGGGTTTTTATCCCACGCAGAAGACAGAACCTAGTTAATTTATATTGTCATCAAATATTGAGTGTACTAACTAACAGAAATTACGTCATTACCACGTAATATTACGTCATAAATGTTAAACCTCAAAGGGGTAGACAGAGAGGCTCATTTACAATAATTGTAATACATAAGGATATAATAACATAGGTAGTATGTTATTTATTCACGTTATATGTGGCTTTTGGTTGAAAATTCCAGAGTGTGTGGTTTTGAGTTCGATTCGAGAGTTAATCAAAGTGTTAGTGTAGGTTTGGGTAGTTCAGTGTAGGTCTTAACTGTATTTTTATAAATTTTGGATTTTGTGAAACTTAGTGATGCTTTGTCGTAATCAAAGATTATGAATAGAATGTAAGACTTCAAAGTTCAGCAGATGTTAAGTAGAAACAAGCTTGTTTCTACTTAACATCTAGTGCAAGTTTACTTTAAAATAGAAGTTATTTACAAAAAAAAATATATAAATATAATGTAAATTCAAAAATAAAACTACCTTTCAACTGAATGAACTAGAGTTTTGTTGCACTTTATATTTTCTTGCCTTGCTTTAATGTCTAAGAAAAACGTGTCTCTAAACCAGCTGTTTGTCCGGGGCTCCGGCTCGACGTGCAGGAGAAGGAACGGGGTGGTTTTTAGTCAGTAAGAGTCTGACACTCCCCTCCGCCTCACCCAGGCGAGAGAAGTCATTCGATGATTTTCCCTCCTTAAAAAAAACCCAGCTGTTTCTGACATTTTAAACATTCGACTATAAATTCGCGCCGCCATTTTTCTAACCTCCAAATGATATGCACTTTCAATCCAGTTTGAAGAGTCAACTATTCGGAAGTTATGATTAGTTACGGATATCAGCTGCTTCCTGCATGCAGACGTTATTTATTCATGTTTAGTTATAGCTAAAACCAAACTAGAGATTTAGTTATTTTAGAATTGAACACAATTTTGTGTATGGGATTAGTGAATTTAATCCTGAAAATACTTATTTTTGAGCTATCTAAAAGATATAGAGAAACTGAAAAAGAAATTGTGAAAAATGTTGCATACCTATAATTTCCTAAATTAAAAGAATTTATTTTTTGTGTACAAACATGTAAACAGTAAACATACATAACTTCACACCTGTCTCCCAGGGTGGTAGGCAGAGACAGAGAACGCAAATTGCTACGATTCTTACATACCTATTTAGCTACATCAACAGTCATCAGCCTTTTCATTCATGCTCGTCGGTTAAAGGTACAACAGTAAACACGAACCGTCAATGCAAAACAGTTGAAAGAAATCCTTCTATTCTTGTAGGGAGTAATGAGAAGGGATGACAGGCATGTGATGTGACAATGAAAGTGATGGACATGAAAGTAACTAGGTGTGATAAAATATGAAACTCACAGAAGTCAGCATCTTTACGAAACGACAATCATCATAGTAGTTAGTAGCTGAAGGGACAAAACAATTGGGTTAGTAAACATAGTTACTATCTCATGGATGACGTTTCTATTACGTCAAATTTAATTATTATTGTGACACTTGAATAAGTAGGTAATTAATAATGGTTTGTCTAGACAAATATTGGACCGTGTCACTGTCAAGTTTCCGATTAGACTGACAGTGATGGTTCACTCAATAAAATATAAAATCAACCGCGAGTCAGCAGTAAACGGTTACTTTCCTTATTCTCATATAAACCTTTGTCAATTCATATTAGGTAAAAAATAACTGTTAGATAATATTTATAATTAATCATGTTGACAAATCGTTTAAGTCTATTTTATCCTGAATGTTGGAAAAGGGAGCAAACAGGGGTTAACTGTTATTAAACCTCATAATATTATTATTATTACTAAATAATCTGCTACAGGTGCCTGAAATATAGGACTAATGCCCGTTTATTCCAAGCTCCTTAATTTTACGGAAGCCCTAAAGAAAGATAGATTTAACGACATTTTTAGTTTTAGCGACCTATAAGAGTGACAGCTAACAGTGCAAAGTTGTTGGTTTAGGTACTACATTATTCTGAATAACATAACATAACATCACGCCCTTTATCCCCAAAGGGGTAGGCAGAGGTGCACACAAAAGTAACACCCACTTTTCACTATTTATGTATGTTATGAGTTCCATGTAATAAGGAGTGAGCTTATTGCCATATACCGGGCACATTTCCAGACTCCGTGCTACTACTGAGATTTTTTTTTAAAACACAATATCTAATACTTTGCCCAACCCGGTTATCGAACCCGAGATCCCTTACCCGACCACTCGGTCATAGACGCAGTCGCAGTATTCTGAATAACTGTAACTTTTAAGAGATTGTTTAGGGGTGTGCGGTGAAGACATCCATGCTATTGGTTCATACAACAACAATTGAAATTACCATACTCCTGACTCTAGTCGTCTAAATTAAAGTTTAAAGTTAAGTTCCATATTAACATGCCCCTTCTATCATTCCAGGAAGACATTCCAGAGCAGGGATCACTTCGAGGCAAAGGATATGAGGCTCTCAACAACTGGAGTCCAACTTCGGAGCGGAGTCGACCAGACCTGGACATTATGTACAATAAATCCAGCTCTGACAGTCCACCTTTCGTCAGAATTAATAAGAGATTGGGTAAGTTTAGTGGAGATTCGCGAGAGTTATTGTGTTTATGGTAAATAAAATTCGTATAGAAGAACGACACTCCCTGTCAGGCTGTTCTTAAATAAAAAGACATAATGAATAGCTTTGGTTCACATTATGTAAGGATATGATTCGGTCTCTACAGCGCATGCTTGGAGAGAGGCCAGTTCCCGCTTCTCTGGAAAGCGGGCAAACTGGTCCTCGTGCGAAAGACGGGGCGCCCTGCGGACTCTCCGTCCGCATACCGGCCCATAGTGCTGCTCGACGAGGTGGGGAAAGTCTTCGAAAGAATAATTTCGAACCGCCTCGTCGCGCACCTGACGAACATTGGGCCGGACCTGTCGGACGGCCAGTTCGGCTTCCGCAGAGGGCGCTCCACGGTGGACGCCATCATGCGCGTTAGGGACCTCACGACGGGGACTGCAGTGTCCGGGGGTAAGGTCGTAGTGGCGGTGTCTTTAGACATCGCCAACGCCTTCAACTCCCTGCCCTGGAGCTGCATCTTGGAGGCACTCCGATATCATGGGGTGCCTACCTACCTCCGTCGTGTGATCGAGGCTTACCTGACGGACAGGTCCGTCAGCTACCCCGGTCACCGGGGCGAGTGGAACCGGCGAGAGATGTCACGCGGTGTTCCACAGGGTTCGGTTCTGGGGCCGCTCCTGTGGAACATCGGCTATGACTGGGTGCTGCGCACCGACCTCCCGAACGGCGTTAGCACAATATGCTACGCCGACGATACGCTGGTGCTAGCGCACGGGAGGTCACACCAGGCGGCGGCCGACTTAATGGCGACAGCGGTTGCGACAGTCGTTGAGAGAATCCGGCAGTTGGGACTCGAGGTGGCGCTCCACAAGTCCGAGGCCATGTGTTTTCATGGCCGCGGGAACGCGCCACCTCCGGGTGGGTCCCAAATAACGGCGGGAGGAGTTACCATCGGCGTCGAGACGACGATGAAGTACCTAGGACTCGTCCTCGACAGTCGGTGGAACTTCATTGAACACTTCCGACGTTTGGCTCCAAAGTTGGAGAGGACGGGGGCTGCGTTTAAACGCATCCTCCCCAACCTCGGGGGGCCAAACGCCTCCTGCCGGAGGTTATACGCCGGGGTCGTGCGGTCCATGGCCCTCTACGGCGCCCCTGTTTGGGCGCCTAACCTGTTGCGGCGTCCCGCTCGGACGCTGCTCATGGCACAGAGGGTCATGGCGATCCGAATGATCCGCGGATACCGCACGATCTCTGGGGAGTCGGCGAACCTCCTTGCCGGATTACCGCCGTGGGATCTGGAGGCGAAGGTGCTCGCGCGCGTGCACAGCATGCGCGCGGAGGCACGTCGCCGGGGCGAAACTCCGCTGCCGCGCCAGATAAGTGCGTGGCGGGATGAGCTCCGGCGCGATCTCATGGCGGAATGGCAGCAACGACTGTCGCAACCGAGGGCTGGGCTCGCTGCCATCGCAGCGGTAAGTCCCCTCTTTGAGGAGTGGCTTGAGAGACGCTACGGCGTCCTCACCTACCGCCTGACGCAGGTCCTCACCGGACATGGAAGTTTCGGGAGGTACCTGTGTCTGATGGGGCGGGAGGAAACGCCCGGGTGTCATCACTGCGAGGACCGCCCTGAGGACACGGTGGAACACACGGTGGGAGAATGCCCTTCGTGGGCTGAGCACCGCCGTGTCCTCAGGGAAGTGATCGGCGATGGCGACCTCTCGCGTCCGGGCCTAGTGCAGGCCATGATGCGGAGCGAGGGGGATTGGGATGCCGTCTCCTCCTTTTGCGAAGCAGTCATGCTAGCTAAGGAGGAGGCGGGACGCGTGAGGCAGCGAAGCGCTGCCTCCTCGCAACCCAGCCATCGCGAAGGACACACCGGGCGTCGGGGATCGCGGGACGATCTCCGGCCACCGTAAGCGCGGGCCTGCGGACGGCGAGCATGGGTGGCTCCCCGTCCGACCAGAAACAGACCCGAGCGTACGGCGCGTCGCGTTCCGCGCGCGCCTCAAAGAGCCATCAGACCACCACAGATGGGGCCCAATAGGGCCGATGCCGATTCGGAGTCGCGGAGAACCTAACGGGTAACCGGGGCTCCGGCTCGACGTGCAGGAGAAGGAACGGGGTGGTTTTTAGTCAGTAAGAGTCTGACACTCCCTCCCGCCTCACCCAGGCGGGGGCAGTCATTCGATGATTTTCCCCCCTTAAAAAAAAAAAAAAAAAAAAAAAAAAAAAAAAAAAAATGTAAGGATATGATTTGTATGCACAAAAATTCTATGGAATTTGCACCCTATTATTTTGTGAAACGTTAAACTATTTATTATTTATATATATAAATTAAAAAACGGTAAAGTTAAAAGCCAACAAAAATCACTCTTATTCATCCAAAGTATAAAGTATATTATAATAATATACACGGAGCCGCGGACGGCTCAACAGGTTGCCGGGGTTCCGGTTGGAAGTGCAGGAGCAGGAACGGGGTGGTTTTTAGTATACTTAGCAACTTACAAAAAATTACCCTTTCTAATTCCAGGAGGATCTACAGAAAATCTTTTGACAAATGCCAGAAGACCGAGCCACCTGCTCCTCCCAGCTTCCTCGTCAGGAGACAGCCTGGACGTGGAAATTCGGGAGAGGGAACCTCACGCCAGGAACAGAAAGTCCAGATCCATGGTCGCTCCGAAGAATCGGTTACAGTCTCCCATTCCCGCTCCCAGGCATACACTTCAACAAGAGGTAAGAATCATTTAAATGCTGTCATGTCAGGTATAAACAAATACTAGTTATATGGGACTGCCCCAATAAAAATTCTAAATTCTTTACCTACTGCTTAGTTTGATTTTCATAATATTTCGAAGTGACCCCAAAGGCACGGGGTCTTGATTCTTACGTTAAATAAGCTATTATTCCCGTGCGTACGGCACGTCGCGTCCCGGCTCTAAAAGCCATCAGACAACCACAGATGGGGGGCCCAATAGGGCTAATGCCGATACGGAACCGCGGAGGACTTAACGGATTACCGGAACTTCGGCTCGAAGTGCAGGAATAGGAACGAGGTGGTCTTTAGTCAGTAAGAGTCTGATACTCCTTCTCGCTTCACCCAGATGGTAAAAGTTATTGAATGATTTTTTCACCTCAAAAACTGAAGTAATCTATTATTAGAAGTTTCACAATAGTTATGAATAACCACGGAGATCAGAGTAGTAAGAATTACAAGTGGAGTTTATTGGTCCATGCACTCGTAGGACTCGTAACGAAAATGTACTTTTCCGTTCGACTCAAGCTTAGAATTTACTTTTTAAGGACAATTTGCAATTAAACTAAAATGTATCTCTATTCCTCACAGGTGATCTTAGAGGGCCCAGTCAAACGAACCAAGTTCCTGGAAGGTACGAAGAAGACCAAAAAGAACTGGATAGACTGCTACATGGTCCTCACACCTACTGCTCTAGTCTTCTACAAAGACCAGAGGACGTATTACTCTTCTGTAAGTATAGAACTATTCGATAAAAAAAAATTATGGACTTTTTTATAATTAACATTCGAGTTTAAATTTTTGCTAATTTATTTGATTTGTCGTATTTACACACATGGTTACTTCAATAAATGTATGTTCTATTAATTTAAAAAGGAAGCTTATTTGAGAAACTCTTTCTTAGCGAGATCTTTAACAAAAACCCTTTTCTCAGTCTAGAATTAATCTTAATTTAAGTTTGAAAATGTGCTAACAGTTAAACAATTCATTTCAGAAGGTATCTCGACCTCCTGGGACACCACCCAGCCCGTCCACACCACAAGCTGAGCTCGTACTGGCGTTACTCAACGCACATGCCACGCAGTGTATTCAGAAACACACGAAAAGGTACCTTATTAACCATAAAATAAACTGTAAAACAATTACATAACATAACATCACGCCTTTTATCCCCGAAGAGGTAGGCAGAGGTGCACATTATGCCACTGTACAATGTAACACCCACTTTTCACTATTTATGTTATGAGTCCCATGTAATAGGGGGTGAGCCTATTGCCATATACCGGGCACAATTCCAGACTCCGTGCTACTACTGAGAATTTTGTAAAAACCCAGTAATACTTTGCCCGACCCGGGAATCGAACCCGAGACCCCTTGCCCGGCAATCGCACTTGCGACCACTCGGCCAACGAGGCAGTCAATTATCAGTAAAACAATTATGTGTAACAGTGTAAAACAATTATCAGTCACAATATTAAAACGAACTACAGTTTTTGTAAATACTTTAAAACTTATTATCGCAGATGTTCATTTATATCACAAGAACGGACTTAATAAAATTCTTACTGTGACACAAGATTCTCTCAAAAGATAGTTTTGAGAAGCCTATAACATTAAAGTATATAATCCACAGCTCAGTTAAAATCATAATTGAGTTGAGCCTTAGACACATAAGAGTATTAGCACTAATTTTGGTACCGTGCCTGGCGACTGCAAATAAGCCTGGACTTACAACTTACCCGGAGAAATTAATGTTGGAGTAGACATTCTCTATCTTATTGCTGAGTAAAATGTCTGAAGTTAAGATTGTTAATCAGTTTCTCCTCCATTTCCAGGTACACACGATCTATCCTACTCATCGTGGGCTACGACCAGTACCTGATCCAGGATGAGACTGAAGACGGTGCCAGGAAGTGGTTCGCACATATTCGAGGCGTTATTTTTGCCCTGGTGAGTAATGTTGAAAAATTTCAATAGAATGATAGTTTTTAGCTGAATTCGGTTAAGACTTGGCACTTACCTGAATCTAGTTGGAAAAAGAGAAGGGAACCTTGAAGATTTTGTATGTTTTAATATTCCAATTTGTAGGTTCTAATAATTTTGATTTGATGTGTTTTAAGTTTGTTTGGAACAGCTTCAGCTTGCTTAATTGAGCAAATTATTTAAAATAAAGTTACACACAGACCTACTTAGTACCACTATAGGTATAGTGGTCTACTATAGGTATAGTGGTCTACTACTAATCCTCATAATGGATAAAGATACGAACATCTTCAGTTGAATTGTAAAAGATTTCGTTCAATTATCAATTGATTTGATTAGTTCACAGTACCTTATATATGGAGTATATACTGGTCATTGACTATGTGTTAGTCAAATTATTTTCCTTAAAATCATAAACATATTATTTAATCTAAATACCTTATTTCACAGTACCAATGCAGTCTACCAGGAGAATCGCCACCTCCAACCTTCACGCATAACAACGCTGACGCCGACAGCCTAGGCAGGACGCCACCCACCGCCCGACACGCCATCAGGAACAAACACAAAGGTAATTCACATATACAATAACATTAGATAATAGATACATAATGCCACCATTTTGTACATAAGGTTTTTATACACATTCCAAGCTTCAGTTTCATTATCAAGGTAATCACGGTGACAGTTTACACAATTTCAAACTTTAATACGAATGATGGAAGGTGTAAAGTTGTTTTAGATTTGATGCAGGTGTCTATTTAGCTATTGTATATGGCAAAATTACTGTTGTGGCTTGAATTATGTCTTAATTAATTACTTGTAAGCACTTCTTATCGATTAATCTATTTTTTTAAACAGTAATAGGGATCTAAGCTTTCCAAACATCATTTAATCAAAGTAATCTCAAAGTAACCAAAAACGTCTACTGTGCCGTCAAGTAATCTGTGTAGGTGGAGAAATTTGGAACTAACAATGTCACAAAGAAGTCTTTTACAAAAAACCTTTGCGTATTTAGTCAGATAAAAGCTGAAACGCATCCTTCACATTCGTACGTCAATGGAACAAGTAAAAGTCAATCCCAAAATCCGGATTTCCAGAATCGTGATGCACATAAATTTTACGTCTCTACGTCACAAAAGAGTACATAGCTCTCAAAGTTCTCAGCAGAGATCAGTATATAATATAAAGTATGTATAAACCGCAACTTTATAGCAAACCAATTTGTTTTCTTACTTAGTCTATGACGAATCGCTTCCCGGTAAACACAGAGCAGTGTAAACTGTGAACCGCACTTTGATTTTCCTTATTCAGTTTGTTACGGACTAACAACGTGTTTAGTTCACATTAAAGTTATTAATAGATAGATAAAATATCACATAGAACTTTGAAACTGCGATTGTAATAAAAAAGTTGTGAAAAAAATGAGGTTATGTGAAAAACTAGTGAAAAAAGCGCGCTCTTTTTTATATTGACGTTAATGTTGTAATTTTTTATCTGTGGTGCGGTTCAATTGACGTTAGTTTATTATTTATTCTGTGGAATTGTTGTTTTATAAGCGTTTAATTAGTTGGCAACAGCTCATTTATGATATATAATAGTGTTTGAAGTATAAAATGACTATATTATGTGGGTGTGACGGGTATAATCGAATGGATTCATGTAAGCATGTGTTATTTATAATTTGTTTAGTCTTAGACTTTAATAGAATACTGAAAGTCGATGTATATATAATTTTTTATTTTTTTTCTGTATGAAAGTAAAACAGAAATGACTGCCTCTATGGTCGAATATTCGTACTAAGGTACCTAAGTAGTAAGACTGTCGAGCAAGGGGTTTTAATTTCGATTCCCAAGTATTGTACAAAATGTTATTAGATATATCCAAAAAAAGAGTACGGTATTAAAATTTTTATTGTAGCAATAGACCAGCACCTTTTCACAGGAAAGTCTTAACAGCTGCTCAAAATTGATATCAAGTAGTGTTCAATTGGACATAAATAACTTATATGCGTTGGTTAACCAGCTTGATATACATTTTACCGTTATTCCATTTATTGTAATATTTTCCACACATTCAATTCAAATTCTTCATAGTTTATAAATAGAATCTAGAATCGAATGACATGTATTCAAATGTTACCACAATTTACTGCACATATTTTCATTATGAACTAATGTCTAAAGGCTACATGACATCGCCTAGATAAACTAACCTAAAACAGATGATGTCACTGCACTTTGGAAGACAAACATTTGTTTTATTATACAGGCTGGTATTTTAACTAGAGATCGAATTAAACACAAGATAGTTAATGCTTCATCATCATTGGCCGAGGTTTTCGGTTGCTGAGCAAAGAGTAAATGCTCTTTAGTTTGTAGACCAAGTTTGGCAGGAGGAGTTGGGATCAAACTTGAAGGTCGATCGCTAACTTTGGGAATGTTATCTATTGGTAGCTGGTCACAGTTTTAAGCTTCTAGATAAATACAATCAAATTCTCTGTATACATTATGGAGAATCGGTTGCAGATAAAAGACTAGGAGTAGGTATGTTATTTGAGAGAGTTGTGTCTAGCATCGAAATACTTACCTATATCCGATTTAATCGAACTATTTTTAAAGACTTACGTCCAATTGTGGACAGGAATGTTCTGGTGATGATGATGTCAAACATTTCGGATGACATAGAATACCATACTAATCATCGTCCTTTAGATCTCGTTATACTTAACACTCTGTATAAAACAAACAATACTAGCCTTGTTCATTCAAGCCAAATAAATAGACAATAGAATTTTGAACTTCAATCAAAATGATTGTTACCAAAAATATTTCTTCAACCATTTGACTGAAACCCTTTAACGTGTCAAGATTCTCGTTTTGATTTTCCAAAATTTTTGAATTTTCTTGTGCTTTGTTAACTGTATCGCAACCATGACTTACGATAGTGTCATAACATTCAGTGGTACTTGGAGTATTGTGATGTTCAATATACGAAAAGTGTCTGCTAAGTTTATTGGTACGTTGTATTGTATTGTGATCATCGAGTAAATTACCCATCACTCTTATTTAGTCTCCTTGCGGGTGTATAAAAATTTAATTCTGCAGTAGTCACATCAGCTGGAACACGGCCACTGCTGAACAAAGGCGTGTCATGATCAACACCTTTGGCAGGCTACTTGGAGAAAGATCTCCAAGTCCAAGATGCCCTAACTAAGAAGTTAGGGCATCGAACATTTAGACGATGCCGTTGCCCATATCTCAGTGGTTGGACGTAATTTTAGGACATCTCCATTCTCCAATTCAAAAAGTTGACGTTATCTGACTTCTTTTATTTCTTGTTGTTATTGTTGATCGAAGTTTCTTTTACTCAACTTGGACTGATTGCTACTTCTAAATACTTGGAACTCACGTCTTCAAAATTGAGTATTTTGACTATTAACACGTTAAACGCTATGGGGGTCATCGGTGACCGACGTTAGCGGGTGATTTAGCTTCAACAGTTTTTTATCGACGGAATATTGAAATGCTACACAATTTTAATATTTATTTAATATTGCTATCTCTGTCATTTCACGAAGTGTTTGTAGTAACAGCAAAAATTTTGGGAGCGTCTTAAAATTAAGCGGCATTTGAGTGTTTAAACTTTTAAACACGTGTTTGGATTGCTTCCTTGAACTCCATATAGGACATCAGCATACTAGATACAGCACTATGACTAATACCAACATTATTTAAGATATATAATATGTCTATATTTACATTTTAGTAATAACTGATAAGGTCATTACGTATGATCAAAATATACTAGCATGTGAGTCACCAAAGTTTTCGTACACGAATTATGGCTTTGGCCTTTGAACCAGATGTTGCACACATCAACCTGTACACCGCATAGTGACGTCAGATAAAATTATATCAGTCATCACTTCTTTTCTTCCTGAAGGTGTCTCTGTCAAAGGTGCCACGGGTGCCACGGTGCCGTGTACTACGGGACCTTTGACAGAGACTGTGAGAGGGTGCTTTTACTAACATACAAGTTCACATATGACACCCAGACCGGGAACTACAATCTGTGGATCACACAGAGTTGTTCCGTGCAGGAATCGAAACCGCGACACGTTGCGCGGCAGCCGGTTGCACAGCCACCGCGCCAACTGTGTAGTTATCACTAGTCCGAGACTGACCAGCAGCGCTTTCTAATAAACCTGAATCTTTTTAAACTGCGAACTTCAAGTCACCTGCCAAACATGGATATGACGGCAAAACCTCCTATGTAGGCCCATAAATCCAGCAGTGAACTGTCACTAGCTATAAGTATATGTTGATAAATTAGAGTAGCCTAATTTGCTGTAGGTACTGTTGATAGAGTCAAAGTTTAAACTAATAATTGCATTACGTCAGTTGCCATTCTTGTAAGATTTCTATATTTAGTTAGGATCAATCATGTTGTACCGAGAAAATTCGTTTATTTGTGTTCGATTGGAAGACTATTCATTAATAGATGGTTACGAAGAAAAATCTAATTTAAACAATGATCATTCATCAACATTTCAATGCATAGTAGGTATGTTTAGACTATGCGACATTTTATTGATGACAAATGAATAAGAACATCTGTCGAAAACAATGACAAGAGATTTTGCGGGTTAAAATTGTTTATATGACTCGATCATCTGAAGTGTCAACCATCCTCCTTACAATATCTTTGTAAAGAAGATGTGCACTTGGGCCCCGCGTCCCTAAAGATTCTACCCCAAACGGTTCGAAAGTATAATTGCCAATCAGACTATCATACTTTCGCTGTTTGAGGTTCTCGGCAGCAGCAGCGGCAGCACCGGCTCGACACGCTGAGTTTGGAAGATGGGGTGGCACCAGAGTATCAACGCAAGTGGCGTCCCATACTAAAGGCCTACCCATCTTCTAAGGGAATAATGGCATACCATCGGGTTTCTAGCCATCGTCGCGTACCAAGCCATTAGGTTCTAAAGTAGCTGGCACGCCAACGGAGGCAAGAGCTTGACGAATTATGTCATTAATACTTGCGTGTCGATCAAAACGGCCCGCACTACGGCTACATGACAAGCCGTGGTGTCCAAGGCTGTTGACATCTTCTGTTATATTGTATTGTTTGCAATAATCTCAAAACTTGCTGAATACATTTGTACACGATTTGCACCAATTTATATGTATAACTAGCGACCCGCCTTGGCTTCGCACGGGTGCAATATGCATGTTTTATACATAAAAACCTTCCTTAAGAATCACTCTTAAAAAAACCGCATCAAAATCCGTTGCGTAATTTTAAAGATCTAAACATACATAGGGACAGACAGACGACGAATAGCGACTTTGTTTTATACTATGTAGTAATGATTCTTGAATTTGATATATCAACTTTAGTTAGACGCAGAGGGCAAATGTTTGCTCCACATAAAATATGGGCTGACTCAGCTAAATCTAGTTATGACTCAGTAGCAATCCCAAAGACTAATTGGAAAAAGCCCGGAAAAAACGAAGACGTATCAATAGTAACTGATGGGGAATTTATAAGTCATGAATATTTAGACATTGCAGACGAAGCTGTCCTTGGAAAGCTTAAAAAAAATAGCAACACGACACGGCCTGACATACGCAACGCACTTCATACAGAATCCTTGTACACTGGCTAGCAAATCAATCTACACCAATCTGTCAAATTTATTCATGGAATTTTCGACTTTATATCAACACATATAAGTGGAAGATGTAACAGAAAGCATAGGTTGACCTGTCACAATAGCTAGTTATTCAATAATACAATTATTGTTTCATGATGTAATAACAAATATGTTTACAATATTAAAATTGAATCATATGATATTAGTAAATATTTAATAGCCATTATGACTCACTAATTTTATCTTTTCTTATTTCTACATTTTTACATAAACGCGTCAATGCAATATGACAGCGAATCTTTTTAATCAACTTTATTAGTTGTAGATAATCGAATGCGTCATCGATTCTCTGCAATCGTGTGAACAAATCAACATCAACAGTCCACTACTGGACTTCGGGTCCCCTCTACACAAGAGGATTTGCCATAAAGTCCACACTTGACAGGGTGGGAGTTCGCTGTTTAAGAGGTTCAAGTTTATTGTCTAGTGTTCACAGCACTGCTGTCCGATCTCTGGAAAATGTCTTTAATTGTGACCAATATATTTGACTCCATAAAATCATTTAACTTTTTTTCTTGAATATTGAGACTTGTATACTGCCTGTCTGCATTTGAAGTTACATTGACTGCAAAATATATTTAATGGAATTTAAAAATAATGGCCAGTTCTCGTGTTCTATTTGAAATTTAAAATGAACCATAAACACGGAAGTATATTTTTATATGGAATAAGAAATACAAAAAATGTCCCTGACTATGATTTGTCATTATCATTATAAGTTTTAATCAACCGATATCCGCAAGTTTTTCACATACTGTGCCGTTTATCAGATAATGTTATATTGATAACTATAATCACTAATTGCGCCAATGGTTTAGTCTTCAACAATCTTTATAAGAGCATTACCATTAGCATTGTTAGCGTCAAAATACGAATTACTGTTTCTAATTCGAATCTTTCTAGTGTTTACATACAAAATGATTGTGCATAGTAATTTTGTGTAACCAAAATGAAGTTATAAGTGAATTTTGGATGTTATTGAAAGTGATATGGAACATAAGATTGTACAAACATTTGTGGATTACGTGCAGAGGAAAATGCCTAGTGATGATGCAGTTAAGGCTAAGAAAAGTCCTTCGGAAACTTCGAAACTCAATAAATTCAAAGATATGTTTGGATCACATCACGATTTGAGGAAACTTGTTCCTCAACCAAAACGTAATTACAATATTTTTGTAACGAAAATTTGATCGAAACTGACGTCAATCTATGCGTTTTTTATAATGCATCCTTTATATAAATGTTAGCTAAAACCTTCTTTAAAATATCTATAACCGTTATTTTCCTCTACAATGTCCGGATACTATCAAATAACAATATGTTTTTAGATATTTGTTTCATTATCTGATTGTAATAATCTATATCTTTCCGTTGAAGTATTGCGTTACCAAAAACGTTCATCATGCAGTGTAATGTAGAGATATCTTGCTAATGTGGTACAAAATGTTGTAGATGAAGAAGTAGATGAAACTGATATTATAGGTTAAGGAGATGTAGTGTATAATTGTGATCCTAATAACTTTGTTACTTTGAAAAACACTGCTGATTTCAGAAATGTTTACGATGAGAATGTGCAAGTTGTAATAGCTGCAAATATGTTTATAGGTACAGAAAAAGCGGAAAGAAAATCTATTAACAAACTGGAAAGTCAAGCAGGAAACAAAAATACAGTGCGTGATAATCTAAAGGTTACATAAAATCTTAGATCTAGTTGATTATTACCGGATACCGTAACAATGCGTGTAAAAACCGAATTAGACACGCCTAGTATAGACGGCGAAATTTAATCGATCTGTGAATTGACTATATGTCGATACAATCTTATCGTTTCCACACACGATTGATAATAGAGCTCCTATCAATTTATCTGTAGCAAGCATGACGAATTCTGCTGTTTCTTCAGTTTATACCAGACTTCAATATCTTAAATTAACCTCCAAAAAGAATCGCCTAACAATATCGTGTGTTTTTCTACTAAAATTCATAATTTTCCTCAATTATTTTCGTCGTTATCTTATCTGAAATTAATTTATAATTCGTATTTGATTCTTCTTTTTTGTTTTTTGGTGTGAATTCAGGATACAGGCGAAAAAGGTAAATTGAAAACAAAATTTGATTCTCTGGAATGTTTCGGTCTCCGATGTGTACGTGTCAGTTGCCTGTTCCTAATCATGTCTCGTCCGTGTCATGTTTATTATATTCCAAATTATAATTCATCTCTACATATACATAATTATGTGGTCCTCCATTGGGATCCTTTGAAATACCTCTTTAACAATTTTTTTTTATTAGTCATTCTACCAACTGAAATTTATTCTTTGGCAGAAATGACTCTTGTAAAAAATCCTTTACATAATTTTTGTGTCTTAAAAACCTAAACTTTTATATCTTCATCTTCACTAATAAGTTGTTATTGTTAAGTAGGTAGGTACATAAACTGGTTTTAACTCAATTTTTATGTCGTACGTAACCTAAAAAGCGTATATTATTAATCCATACTACATTCTGCCTCTCTGGTTATGGCTTTCAATCCAAACTGTCTTGCTGTGGTATTGGGGTACCTTTGACCATGTACTGTCCATACTATAATTAAGTAAATGGCGTTAAAAGGAATGCATTTGCTTCAATTTAAAAACAAATAACAATTTTTGAAGTTTTTAGAACTAACACTACTTTTGGCGCCAATACCTATGTCAAGTTACCACAGATTATAACTAGTGGTAACATATACTCAATCTCGCATCCAGGCTACTTGTTTGCATAAAATATTGCCCAGATAAAAATAAAGAATAAAGTATAAAACTGATAAATAAATCGAAATCCCGTATTTCTGAATCTAGCCTGATTTTATGCAATCATATATTGAGGAATATTCTTTTGAAATGAGAAAATTAAATATTTATTGTACGAAATAGATAATTTATAAAGAATATTATGTTTTCCGGCTTAGTCAAGTCATTATTTGACGTGGTAAAGGTGCATTGTGCGACAAACGACACGGCCAACGTCATGCAACCAACTCTGCGTTGGCTTATCTTACATGAGTAAGCCATAAAACACAATAAAATTAATATAATACGGTAATATGGCTCCTAAGACTTATAACACAAAAAAAGAATATGACTCAAAATGGCCGACAAATCTCTGCTTTTCCATCTCAATTCCTTCTTGCTGTTTTGACTAACAATGCAATTCTATCTCTAATGTTGTCAATTTCAGCTGGAGGGAGTAGCAATGAAGATTCGAGCGACTCTACAGAAGTTTCTATTCAGAAATCGCAAGTGAGGAGTAAATTAAGAAAATTCTTCGCGAAAAGACCACCCGTGGACCAACTAATGAGGAAGGGAATCTATAAAGGTTCGGAATTTAATCTTTGATGGTTGTGTGGCACTGAGTAGTTTAGAATTAGAACGTAGAATTGGTTTGGAACAAAACATAGCTAACCTTTTTGAAGTGAGACTTTTTTCGGAGTTAACCATAGAATTGGTGTATGAATTGTGTGATATTTTTTTATTAATTTGGCGCCATGTTTATTTTTTTAAGTTGAAATAATAAACGGTTTTTGAGTGGCATTAACTTTTAAACAGTGTTAAAATTGTATAATATTTTATGGGTTTATTTAATCTTCATATTTAGGTTTTATTTGGCTTTAATTAAAAATGTAAAGTGCATCGCAAAATAGATGTTTACGAATTTCAGTGCATATTTAATTTGCACCAAAGGTAAGTGCTTATTTATTTTTGAAGTGGTATTTATTTTGTATGTATTATTGTATTTTTTACACTTAACAATATGTATCATAAGAAGTAGTTGTACAAAAACTAATTTGGTGTTTTATTATTTTACCTGTGTGCGGCTAATTACTATTTACGGTTACTTTAATTTTTTTATATAGGTCATTCTCGTTGTTTTTATAACGGCCAGTTTCAGTAAAGAATTGCTTACTAGAGATATTCTGTACAAGCTTTCCACCCACGGCTTCGCACGCGTATTGTAGAAAAACATATATATTTTTAAAGATTCCTCTTTAATTAAACCATATCAAAATCTGTGGCGTAGTTTTTTACTTGATATATCAAAATTACATCGCTAGTAGCCAAATCTAGTTAGTAGAGTATAACTGGCATTTTTTTTTGTTTTTTTTTTTAATAGGTAATGTCGTTCTACGGCGCCCCATTGCTGACGTGACGTAACAACTTACGACCATAACAAACAACAAACAAAAACAAACATGATGACGTTACAGAAACAATAACAATGTCGGTTTTAACACAAAATATGTTTTATACACTCATATTTTGAACTTTGTTTCTTGTTATGCACTATTTCTAGGTATTATTATGGTGTTTGTCTGAAGTTTCCTAAGTAGAAGTCTGTACCTACTTTTTAACAGTCAATAAGCTTAAAAACATCGGAAAGTTTTCAACTAGTCCAATAGGGTACGGTACTTAAAGTTCTTTGATTGTCTGGGTATGAAAATTAAAAATGTAAGTAGTCAGTTAGATAATGAAAAAATATTATACACGTATTTTTTATTATCTCGTAAAAAGTAATACTTAGATAAAATGGCGTTAAGTTTAGGAGTGTCGTTAAGGCATAACGTGCTATACAAAACGTAGCACGCTGTGACGTCACACGATATTTCAAATCAATATAACGTCGAAAGTATTTAATTTTGTGAGAAAAGAAAAAATACGTGTCTATTGTTTTAAACTAATCTACCAGACGGATATTAAATTAAAGTTAAGAAAATATTCATTCCTTTTTTTCTAATTGTCATAGACCAATCTGCTAGATTTTTAAATTGTGAATGTTAAACAAAATTGCACAACTATGACGTCATACCTTAGATGTCGTAATTACAGCGTACTAAGCTGTTTTTTTAACCATATAAATGAGCTAGAAATTAGAATTAAATGACTGATCCTGACGTTTAATATTTATTTGCCTAAGAACTTAGGTTAATGCCATTTTCCTTAAATTTTAGGTAGTGAATATAATATGATTTCATTATTATGTACTTATTTGCAAGAATTACTATAAATTTATAATTATTACGTATCATTATGATGTCACTATTTTCCTTTAATTATATCATCGTACCTACTTATAGACTTTAGGGGCATTTTTGGCTTTCGAGTATCGGTAACCTGGAATATTCTTGGAACTATATGGTTATTTTCCTTTATAAATAGATATAGGGGAAAACTGGATCTTACAAACTTGAGTATATCTAAAACGTATTTCTTAAAAAATCGGAACTAATGTTGCAATATTATTTATATTGGAATGTATATATTTTATTGTTAATTATTGTGTTTCCGGCTTATTCACGTAACTATTCGACGAGGAACTCGACTAGTTTCAAGCCATGTTAGAGGCATGCGACAGTCGCAGCATCGCATTTCGCGGTATGCTGCTCGTGAATATGAGCCTCTAGCATAGCTCGAAACTAGTCGAGTTCCTCGTCAAACAGTTACGTAGGCCGGAAACATAGTAATTGATATAAAATGTATCACGAAAGTTTTAAATATATGTAGTACATACACGTATTTTATTCTTTAGAAAAGTCCCAAAAATTAACATATGATTGAAGAAAATACTAAATTATATATTTACCTTATTAGTTGTTATTAAGACATTTCGTTTCGTCGTATAGTTCAGGTTAGTAATAATTTAAGCTAAACCTAATCGTATGACGTATTTGAAGTTAAACCACAGAGTTTTGATGACGAAATACCTTATAAGTTCTCCATATAAATTATACTAAGTAAGGCTTAAACCATGACATTAATGTTGACTATTCTATGTACATACGTCATGATTTGATGCGGTTGTGGGCCTTAAGATTATGTCAATAAGCTTCCTTCGATTCCATACAGACTTTAGTTACTCTGGGTTCTTAGTTGTGAACAGTCGTGCTTGAGAGCGCTCGTGTGTTTTTTTTAATTGTGTTTTTTATTTCATGACAACAAGCTTGAGTTATATATATTTAAATTTTAATTGCGAACAATCACTAGATTAAGCGCGCTTATTTTTATTGTTTTTTTTATTAACTTTTTAATATCTTTATGCCATAATGTGCCACGCATTGAAAAATAAATTGGAGCAATTTTTCTGGACGAATGTCGTACAGAGAAAACGCGAGTGTGATTTGTTTCCCGGTATTTATATTTTTTTTATTTCGTTTTTTTTTTTTTTTTTTGTTTTGAGAATATTTTATAGTGTTTTTAACTTGTGCAGTAGTTAGAAGTAGATAGCGGTTGGTGGTTGCAAAAGTAATTAGTCTTTAATAACTTGGTGTAGACTTTTTTAAATTGGTTTTTACGCGTACGTCATTTCATTTAATACTTACGTATCAAGTACCACATTCTAAGCAAGTTATATTGAAGAACACTTTTGTATATTAACTTTATTGTATAAAAACCTTTTCGGTTGGTTTCTATATGTTTTTAAGTTGTACCTAACTTTGATTGATGTTTCGACCAAATTGCACTGAATATAATCACAATCATTTTTATCTACAAGCAGCACATCAACTTGCCTTAATCTGTAATAGATTTCAACTCTTTTTTTCTGAAATAAGATTATATTTCCATTAACAGTTTCGGGGTATATTGATGTGCTCATAGTACAAATTTCTGACGTCAACAAATTTTTTGACAGATGAGCCAGTTTTCGGTCGGAATCTGGAGGAGGTGTGTCCGGCTACTAGTCCACGAGTCCCAGAGTTCGTGGTGGCGTGTGTGAAGGAGATAGAGAGGCCTGACAATATGTGCACTGATGGGCTATATCGTGCCAGCGGCAACTTGAGCCAGGTGCAGAAGATACGATTAGAGGTGAGTGTTTTAAAATTTTCAAGAGATTTTACATACATACATAACTCCATGGAGGTAGGCAGAGACTATGGAACGCCAAATACTACGATTCCTACATACCTCTTTCGCTACATCAACAATAAGAGATTTTTATCATACTTTAATCTTATTTTCTATTTTAACACAGAAGATGAACTGTATCGCATGCATTTAGGTATCTTTACCTCTTCACTCAACATGCTACTTTTAATAAAATCCTCCGTCAACTAGAAAGCAATACATAGTTTTCATATAAATGAATAGTTCTCTCCCTAGTTTTTCTTAACATGATACTTTTATTTATGTCAAAATAATTTTTTACGAGAATATTATTATATTATATAAACACATCGTTTTTCCTTCTCTAATTATATTATGAAGGTTTAACAATTCTCCTCTTTATCTTCAGGTGGATCAAAATAAGATGTCGGTGATCCAGAACAACACAGACATCCACGTGCTCACCGGTTCTCTGAAGCTGTTCTTCCGAGAGCTGAAGGAGCCACTCATACCCTGCTCCATGTTCGACAGGGTCCTCGCTGCATGCTGTAAGTATACCTTTCATTTTCATCATCATTCGCCATCAACCTCATCTTTCACCATCAACCGAAAGGTCTTCCCTGACACTGCTAAACAAAACTCCTCTTAATAGGCGACTGAACATCAAAACATAGGCTTTTAGATCTCTTGCCCACACAAATCATTATCTGGAAAAATTATCAGATAGATTGAATACCAATAAGTGAAAAGTGGGTGTTATATTGTACAGTGGCATTAAGTGCCTTAATGTGCACCTCTGCCTACCCCTCCGGTTATAAAAAGGCGTGATGTTATGTATTATGCATTGAATACCTAAATATACAACATACGTATATGGGCCGACGTGCTCCATCGTAGATCGCATCATCGCTTACCACCAGGCGAAATAGTAGTCAAACGTCGGCCCATCAAATATAAAAAAAAACATATTTTAAAAACAACAGATTGCTAAAAAAGGCTTTTAAAGTTCCAAGATGGTTTCTAAAAATCCATTGACCAAGGTAGCCATACTCGTCTAATAATCGTCTTGGTATCTTCTTGGTAGAACTTTAATATCGTGGCTTTACAGGCGTTTATCCCTCCTGCTCTATTTCTGTTTTCATGAAAGTTACAACGAACATAAACATAAGGATTGTCGTAGATCATCACATCATACATACTTAAACTGAAGCACCGTAGTCTAACGGCTTTGAATATTAAATACCCCATTAACAATGGGTAAGGGCCGAAAACTCCGGATATTGAAAAATATACCCAAAATAATTAAAGCTGTTTTTTTAGAAGCAAATAAATGTTTTAGGTACTTATATGTTAAAGATAATATAAAATTGAATTTATTCAAGGCATAGATAAAAAATCTTGTTATCAGACCATTTTGTTTCGATCAACGAATTATTATAATTGGGAACGTAATTAACGTAATGTTATCTTTGGCTTGGTGTGATGTTATGTTGTAATATAACATCACTTTCGGGGAATAACATTTGTTATGTTATACAGGTTTTCTACCTATTTTTATGTAAAAATCAATACTTCAATAGTGAAAAAAGTTTATTGTAAACCAACTTCTTATAAGAAACAGCTTCCAACCCGAATACAACTCTTTGCGTGGGAAACTTTACTAATCTGTCACATGTGACAGATGACATCGTTAATACGACAGCTAGTGCTGTCGTTAACACAGATTATACTAGAGACGTTCGTTTAGTTGATTTTTTATTTTATTTTTAGTAATCTTTTGTCTTTTTCACTATTTCTTTATTCAGACTTAATACTCAAAATATGTACAGGTGAACTAAGACTAGTTAGACTTAAGTTAGAATAAGGTAATGCCTTAACCTTAATATAACAGTCGGTGATGCGGTGATGAGTATTGACGCTAGTCATAACAATATTCTCTATAGCATTTTCCTTAATCCCCGATTCGTAATCTAAACCTTAAAAAACAACATTAGATTTTTAAAGTTACATAAACAATTCTTTATACGTTTAAAATGTGAAAGACACGGCTGACATGTAACAATAATGTTTTTTTTTTAATTTCAGCAATAAAACCAAAAGAAGCCAGAATCAAGGAATTCCAAGAGATCGTGAAGGCGCTGCCGCCATGCAACAGAGACACACTCAAGTTCTTATTAGAACATTTGATAAAGTGAGTAAATCTTATATTTTAGGCACCGGCTACTAAAAATATTATAAAATCAGTTGTTAGAAATGAAAAATTTTCTGACCTACTCTTAAATATTTTGAAACAATGCAATCTTTAAAGATTCCATGATAATTCTTTTCTACTTTGAAATGCGTAGCATCTTACAAAAAAAACCCAAGAAGCAGGTGGTTCTAAATTTAGGTGGTATGTTTTTTATACATGTCTCTTTTCTTTACAGAGTAACCGAATACAAAGAACAGAACAGAATGCACACAGCGAACTTAGCAATTGTCTTCGGGCCCACTCTGCTATGGGCGCCGCCAGAACAGGCCCACAACATCGCAGTCGACTGCATCCAACAAAACAATGTCGTCGACATCCTACTAACAGACTTCAAGGAAATATTCGTAGACAATGGAAGTAAAGGAAAAAAGAAAGCGTGAGCGAAACTCTACGGGTAGTGTTGCCAACCCAAAAATTGGTTATCCTACCAAAATAAGTTGCCAGATGCGAAAAATCCACACTAAACAGTAGTATTTACATTTCTACAGCGAAATAAGTAAGTACTTTAATAAATAAAACGATATATTTGCATTCGTTTCTGCACTTATTCTGGGGAAGTTGTCATGTTAAGATGGTGAATAATATCTAAATATGACAATGACCAATCATTCCAAAGGGTTTTTGGTGGAAACGCTAGCTAGTGTTATGTGGATAGATAGTGTTATAGGTACATTGTGTGAAGGACCTATTTTGTGTATATAGAAGATTGTATGATAACTACAAATATTGAAGCCTTAGAGTTATTCGGTATGATCTCTGTTGCTTACAAAAAACCTTATTTAATAGTGTTGCGATTTGAACAGTCTGACGACTAGTTTGAATAATCTACCGATGGACGCCATATTTCTGAATAGGCGAACGAATTATTTATTTTCTCGGTCGTTGGACTTTAATAAAATTGTGTTTCAATTAAAATAATCAAAAATATATTAAATACTGAATGAGAGTTGTGATTGTGAAGCAATATGGTACGGAAAGACTGTCCGAGGCTAGAGATAAAATAATATATTCAAATAATTATTTACTTTGTAGATAAAAAAAAACTATAAAATTTAAAAAAAAATCTTTCTATCTGTATATATTTGTGGCATCGCACACACGCTAGATCGACATTCCGTAGATCTGGTGAAGAAATAGTTTCAAACTCCTTGCATTTTTCTATGTAGGTACGTTCATCGACACTACTTAGACCACATTAGGACATCGTTAACAATTTATTTTAGTAAAACATCGTAATATCTTACCAATGATGCATCAGTGTATAAAATTTATATTACTACTTAATTTACGGTGAACTAGTTCGATAAAACTGTTCAATTACTGGGCAACGGACCTCTTTGCATACAAAGAAGGTTGTTTTAACCTAAAATAAATTGTAAATGATATCCCATTGATGTTTCTAGTAGTATCTTTGACCTAACATGGCATTATCATATTCAATTCTATTAAATATCATAGATCTAAAGTAAGAAAGATCGAGTTTAGGAGTTAAAACTATAAAAGTAAATACATCATAATAGTAAATGATGACGTGTGATGTAGGGATTATAGTTTTAAAATCATTATCAACAGCATTCTTTTGGGGCCAATTATGTAATTACGAGTCCTAGAAAAGTTGGAGCGAGCAAAGACAATAAGGGACTGGATACTTTAGAAATTAATACACTTTTTCGTTCAGAATCTATTAATAATACTGAAAAACAGATTGTTTTCTGGATTAAACGTCAATTTGGACGTAATTGTACTTTCATTAAAACTCTTAAATGTGTTCAAAAACTTAATTCTAGTGCCAAATTATCGATTTATCCACATTTTGGTTCTCCCATTGTCGCCGCTCGCGCCATCTCTTAAACATTTAGCGGCTTTAAGCCAATATTTATAATTTGTGCCTTAAGCTGTGTAAATAGTCATCATAGATGATTTGGTTTGTAATGTGATAATCAGTTTGTTGTTGTATCTTAGCTTAATTTCGTTGTATTAACTATTTAAGTATACAAATGCTTGCAAACGTGACAGTCTAGTCCTATACAGTTAAATCTGGACTTTAATTCAGTAAAAGCTTTGCTTCCATTTACTTGTTCGAAGCCTTTTCATATAGGATTCATTTTTGCATACATCGTTCGTAAAATATCTGTACCTATTAGTATAAAAGTTTTGTCTGTACGTAATTTGTATTTTCTAATCGATTTCGTTTATATTTGCACTGTAAATATTAGAAAGAAATGTTCAGAATCGATGCTTGTATTCCTTATAGTGATTATTTAAAATATTTCAGCTTCCATGATTGTGTAAATTCATTAGTTATACAGACAAAATCTAGAATAATACTCAAGGTAATACACCAATATAAAATATTGTAAATTTTCTAAATAAGCTAGTAACCAAAGTTTTTTGTATTCGGCTGATAGAGTAAAAGATATAAATATATTGTTGTGTAGTTATTACTTTATGTATGTTACGCCAATAATGCTTGGACATAGATAATGAAGTTACATGAAATAAAATCAGATTATTTTAAAATTAAACTTTATTTTATTTATAAATATCGTTTCCCTTTCTTTCTGCTTCTTTACTTCTTGGTCTGCTAAACAAGGAGTCGTCGAATATTGAGTAAAGTTATGAAGCAACATTGGACGTTTTCGGTTTTAGAAAAATTCTCAATAACAGCTCAGTATCTGGAATTGTAATGTACATACCTGGGACTGGGACTCGTAACATAACAGGTGAAAAATGTCCCGATAACTTCTTTTTAAAGACATCAAAATGTAATATTTATATCCCATAAATAGTGAAGCGGAGAACCTAAGGGGTTCTCCGGCTCGACGTGCAGGAGAAGGAACGGGGTAGTTTTTAGTCAGTAAGAGTCTGACACCCCCTCCCGGCGGAAGCAGTAATTCGATGATTTTCCCTCCTTAAAAAAATATCTATACATATAGTTGTATACAGGATGACTTGCAACTTGACGTATTCCTCTCGGAGTTGAGAGGTGATAATACTATACAACTAATTTCGTACAAATTTAGCCGGTGGTCTCTGGTCCGAAAATGGCTAGTTTCTAAGATGTTCAATATTTTCGGTTTTGGTGAAAAAAATCCCGATCTTACTATAAAAACATCAATAAATAAAAAAGTACTTGGTTGATTTAGGCATTTTTTTGTTTTAATTTGTTGTCAATACATCAATAAACATTTAAATACTAATAGGTACTTTCAGAAATAACATTCTTTTTAAAATAGCAAGTAATTTATAATCAAATTTTGTTTTGAGTCAATAATTTGGTAAATAGAAAACTGAATCCTTTTCAAAAAAATTATATGACACTAAGCGTACAAACTATTAACTAACTAAAACTTTCTTTTATAGATATATAATATAATCTTCTATAAATAAAAATGAATTTCCGTTCGTTAGTCTCGCTAAAACTCGAGAACGGCTGAACCGATTTGGCTAATTTTGGTCTCGAAATGTTCGTGGAAGTCCAGGAAAGGTTTAAAAGGTTGGAAAAAAAATATTTAGACGGTACGGAGTTTGCCGGGTCAGCTATTATATTATATATAAAGTCGTGTTAGTTACACTATTTATAACTCGAACACCTGTATCGATTTGGATGAAAAAAGGTATAGAGATAGCTTAGAACTAGGAGACTGACATAAGATACCATTAATACAATGTTTTTTTATTGCTTACCGATAATCAGGAACGGGATCGGGAAAAACCGGGATTACGCGTACGAAGTCACATGCAGAAGCTAGTTACGTATATTATTGCAATAACCATTACTGAAAAATAAACTGTAAACCAATAACGATAAAGTAGCATTACAATTAACCTCGAATGCCGTAAGTCAGGAAGTGTAACACAAAGAATCTCAATGTCATTCTATATTTAGTTTGTTTCCAAAATAAACGTGCTCCAGTTTTCCACTTCGGTATAATTTACATACATATTTCATTGTGGTGGATTTCCTTTCAGCCGTGTCGTGGTACATTTTTCACTAACCCCTGCTCTCCCCACGGATGTCATACTCATAAAAGTTGAGTAAAGTACCACACAATTAATGAATATCGGGCTGTAGTGTTCTCTCTCTCTGATAAACATGACTCTCTTAACCTGCAATCTCCAATCCGCTTGTCAAGCGTGGACGTAGTGGTAAACCCTCTTTTTACGGAGACCTACCGTGTACCTAAATATTCCTATGAATTAAAAATTAACAAAGAAAGAAGGAAGGAAGAAGGAAATAACATTCATTACAATATTTGTTTACTTAATTATCAATCTAGTTGACTGTCAATTGTTGACTTATAAAAAGAATATATTTCTTACTAGCTGGCCCGGTATATACTTCGTACCGCCTATTAGGTAATGTTTATTCTCACCTTTTAAACTTTCCCTGGACTCCCACGAACATTTCAAGACCAAAATTACCCAAATCGGTTCAGCTGTTCTCGAGTTTTAGCGAGACTAACGAACAGAAATTGATATTTATTTATATAGATTACTTACAAACAAGTAATGATTTGCCTAAAGTTCCAACAATCAAGTAAAAATACATTGATAAGTTATAAGACCAGGGCATTAAATACCAGTAAGAATTTGTATTAACAAGTAACTAGAAAATCTAGTAAACAAAAGCAAAGCTAAACCAAAGCCTTCTAAACGAGATTCCTGACTCCACTTTGAACATGATTATTTTACAGGTAATTTTTTTTTAAGGGGGAAAATTATTCTATATCTAATTAGAAAATTAGAATGTCTTCTTCCGCCTGGGTGAAGTGGGAAAGAGTGCCAGACTCTTACTACCTAAAAACCACCCCGTTCCTACTCCTGGCTTGCATGTCGGAGCCCCGGTTACCCGTTGTGTTCTCCGGTGCTCCGTATCGGCATCAGCCCTATTGGGCCCCATCCGTGGTGGTCTGATGGCTTTTTGAGGTGGGTCTGTATCTTTACCACGGCTTCAAACTGTCCTCGCTTTCTTTTTTTGATTAAACTAAAAAGGTAACATATACACAGACATACATTCTTATAAAAAGATTAAACTTTTACATTAACAATATTAGTACGAATCAAGTCTATATATAGGAATTCCATTATTTCCATTAGTACTGTGAGCATAGCTTCCGCGTAATGAACGGTAAGTGGGATCCGCCTGTGTATAATGTAATTATATTGGGTGTGCTACACACACATATATATATATACTAGTATACTACTACTCACAATTGGAGCTATGATAGTGTGAGTGCATTTTTTTTTTTTTTTAAGGCGGGAAAATCATCGAATGACTGCTCCCGTCTGGGTGAGGCGGGAGGGAGTGTCAGACTCTTACTGACTAAAAACCACCCCGTTCCTTCTCCTGCACGTCGAGCCGGAGCCCCGGTTACCCGTTAGGTTCTCCGCGACTCCGAATCGGCATCGGCCCTATTGGGCCCCATCTGTGGAGTGTGAGTGCATACGGTAGCTCAATAAGTACCTATCGTCATATATGATCTATGATTTTATGCGAACGACTTACAGCCAGTTTCAATTACCATCTATCTGTAAATTACCTTACTAGAGATTGAATTTTGACATGAGTTTCATAAAAAAGTGTCAAAATTCTATCTCTATATAGTAAGCCAATCTATAAATTTATTTATTTATTTATTTTCAGCCATTATCGACCCATTGCAGGGCAAAGGCCTCCCTACCCTCCTTCCACTCCTCTCTACCTCTATATGAAGCTGTTTGCGGCCAATCCTTGTCATAGATGTCTAATTCGTTCTAATCTACAGATAGATTATTGAAATTAGACGTTAATCGATATGCCTAGGAGGTGCTTAGGAATATTATTCCTATTCCCATTTAAATGGCCGGACCTGTAACACCTCTAGTGTTGCTTGATAGGGCTGTCCAAGGGCGGCGTTGATTGCTTACCATCAGGTGATCCGTCCGCTCGTTTGCCACTTATTCCATAAAAAGATTATGAATGCGAAAGTAAGTTTGTTTGTCTGTTACGTCTTTGTGCTTTGTCTGCTTATCAACGTATCTTCTTGATGGTTTTCAAAAGCTAATATTCAATCAGATAAGTAGATAACCTTCTTGTATTTTTGGCATTTTAAAAGCTATAGTGAAGGTGCGAAGTGAATACTTTATTATAATCCTGATGAGACACACAGAAGTTAGTTTTTTTTACATACACATAACATCACGCCTTTTATCCCCGAAGGGGTAGGCAGAGGTGCACACAGAAGTAAAACACACTTTTCACTATTTATGTTATGAGTCCCATGTAATAGGGGGTGAGCCTATTGCCACATACCGCGCACATTTTCAGACTCCGTGCTATTACTGAGATTTTTTTTTAAAAATCCAGTAATACTTTGCACGACCCTGGAATCGAACCCGAGACCCCTTGCCAGGCAGTCGCACTAGCGACCACTCGGCCATCAAGTCAGTTTAGTTTTTTTTATGCCTCAATACAATACACCGTGCAATCTATTCCGTTTTCGTCCCGAAGTAAATGGTTTGACAAATAAATGTAATGTTATAACAGGTGAACCATTGGAAAAAGCAAACTTCGTAAGCGCATACGAACCCATAGTAGGTGAATTATCAAAACATCACGCCATGTACATACCTACCTAATTCTCGAAGAAGTATTTCTCGTCGGGTGGCACGTGCGATGTCAATAGTGCATACAAATTTACGTCTAGTGTTTCGTGTATTGCGTATTTCCATGAAAATGTCTTATAAAATAACAAAATAGACCTATCCTTTTTTTCTTCTCCTCTTATAATATCTTCTGATTCACTTCGTTGAGGGAATTAAGACAATTACTCATATCACTGGAACGTGACGGACTTCAGTGTTCCGGTGTTTTCATGGTTGTATCTACTGTAGATCCTGGCTTACAGGAGTTGCAGCGGTTTTGGGAGGAAAAAAGAACCCCTAATTGTTTTGTTTTTACTTCATATATCGAAAATACTCATTAGTGCAAGTTATTTTGCCCTGAGACGAAAACGAAATTGATTTTACGATGTATGGGAGTTTCCAGAGTTCCTACTGCCCTATGCCTCCTTACATATAGAATAGACCTTATTACATAGTGTTTATGATACATTTTTCTTTCTTGTAAAACTTAACCTTGTTGCTAACTGTATCTATATACGTTTGCGTTACGTTTACGTTAAAAGGATTATGATTAACGTAACGTTCACGTGACGTACAATTGATGTTACCAAGCAATTTTCCATTTCCTTACGAAGTGATTACAATTTTTGATTCAGAAATGTATTTCCACATTTATCAAACAATTTTTATGTCGGAATGATTTTCGATTACAGCAATTTTCTTGTGAAATGTAAACAAATTAAGTTGTCGTAAGGTAAACAAAGTATTTTTGGAAAGGAAGTAATACTTATACAGGTGAGGTGTAACATAACATCATAACATAACATCACGCCTTTTTATCCCCGAAGGGGTAGGCAGAGGTCCACATTTCATTTCACACCCACTTTTCACTATTTATGTTATGACTCCCATGTAATAGTGAGTGAGCCTTTTGCCATATACCGGGCACATTTCCAGATTCCGTGCTACAACTGAGATTTTAAAAAACCCAGTAATACTTTGCCCGACCCGGGAATCGAACCCGAGACCCCTTACAGGTTGCACTTGTGTCCACTCGGCCAACGAGACAGGCGTATTAATGAAATATACGTTAGGTGCTTAATAACAGCCTATAATGTCCACTGCTGAGCAAAGCCTCTTCTCACAGGGAGAAGCTGAGCATTAATCACCATGCTTGCTCAATCCGGGTTGGCGATTTCAAACTTATTCTTTCGTATATTGAATGACATTAGCCCACTTTGTATTAGCTGTTATACCGGGAGACAAGACGAGATAGACTTTTACTGTAACTGGATTTTCTCCGTATCTAGAAGGAATCAAGTCAATTCAAGTTAAACATCTTAATGTAAATTGAATAATCTTTATTCACTTTCAACCATTTTTATATAAATACTGAATTATAGCTAACATAGAACTTTCAACATAGGGTTTTTTAAGGGGGGAAAATCTTCGAATGACTGCTCCCGCCTGGGTGAGGCGGGAGGGAGTGTCAGACTCTTACTGAATGAAAACCACCCCGTTCCTTCTCCTGCACGTCGAGCCGGAGCCCCGGTTACCCGTCAGGTTCTCCGCGACTTCGTGGAAGTCCAGGGAAGGTTTAAAAGGTGAAAAAAAACTTTTAGTCGGTACGAAGTTTGCCGGGTCAGCTAGTACTGAAATATAAATTAACCCTTTGATAATAAAATATTTATAAGCATTTAGTTAGTAAAAAAAGACGCAATTACGAGTCGAAAACTGAGGGCCTATGAGCACCAAGAAGAGAAGTACCAGCACCAAGACCAGCATTACCAGCACCAAGAACACAACCACGACCGCCGCGCGTGCTGACACGGCCCCTGCCCTGTGCACCAACTCGACCCCTGCGCGTTGTCGCTCCACTTCCACGTCGTCCCCGAGATCGTTTTTGTCTTCTGATATTAAAAAAGCAGAAAAAATTAAAGCTCATGCAAACACCGGAAAAAGAAACAAATAATGTAAAAAATGTGTGGGAGAGCCATGCTTCGGCACGAATGGAATGACTCGACCGGAGTGATACCACGGCCTCACAAAAAACCGACGTAAAGCAGCGCTTGCGTTGTGTTTTGTCGTGAGAGTGAGGTTACAGGAGACCCAGCTCCCTCCTCCCTTCCCCAATCTCCCCAATACCCGAATCCCCAACAATCCTCAAACTCCTAAACCCCAGAAAGCCGGTAACGCACTTGTAACGCTTCTGGTGTTCAGGGTGTCCAACTGTCCATGGGCGGCGTCGATTGCTTACCATCAAGTGATCCATCTGCTCGTTTATGCCATGAAAAAAAAAAATTAAATTTTAAATGCATTCAAAAATATTCCTGAGGCATATCGATACTTAGGAAGCATCCCAGAAACACAAAAAACATGGCTGCCCATAATTGTCAAACGTATTTTTTTAACGGGGTAAAATCATCGAATGACTGCTCCCGCCTGGGTGAGGCGGGAGGGAGTGTCAGACTCTTACTGACTATAAACCACCCCGTTCCTTCTCCTGCACGTCAAGCCGGAGCCCCGGTAACCCGTTAGGTTCTCCGCGACTATTGTCAAACGTATGCTGTTGACGTACTCGGCTCCCGGTATGAGACTATGTACTCCCATAATTATTTCATTACATTTTCATATTTTTGAAAGAAATTTATTGCTACCTATGAAATATATCAAAACTAATCTAGATCTAAGACGTAAAAGTATTACGTCTTAGATCTATCATCATCAACTTGCCTTTTCATCCACTTTTGGTTGAAATATGACGACAATAAAATCGTCGTCACGTGTTCGACATTGAACATGCTGATAGTTACAGACCGATTTTTAGTGAAAATTAATAAAACTATTATATAATCAGTATACATAATCAATAATTACTTAACTTTCCATCGTTTTGTTTTCTAATATTCAACGAATAACTTTAAGATATAAAAGAAACAAGTTTTCACAAAATAAGTCGTCTCCTAGGCGATGGCGGAGTCAAAGAGTAGGTATAATAAGTATAGGTGGACGGAGTTTTGACTGACTCTTTTTTTAAATTTTTTTCACTAAAGCTGCGCGAGATTTTGGCTTCACTAGTCAGCCTGTTTCTTCTTTATTCATTTGTAACGTGTTAGAAAGGATAGGGTATATATAATGACGTTTTTTTAGAGTGAATAAGATAACACACTTACCCATACTGGCTCCCGGCATGTGAACAGTTGCGGCGAAAATGAACACCGGGAGCCGGTGTTTCAACATTCAAGAGGATAATCAGAAATTATAAGCCCAGATTTCCTCACCATGTTTTCCTTCACCGTTGGTCAGTAGTATCTAAATAATCTTAGACAGTATAACTCGGTAAAAGTCACATTGGTCCTTGCCGTTGGTAGGTTTCGAACCCACACCCTCATGTATAAGACCGTCGTAAGACTCGTCTTAAACCTCCGTGCCATCTCGACTCTTCTTTCGACTCGACTTGAAAAATGTATTTAACAACTATCGATTAACTAGAAATCACGGGTAACTCACGTGATACTGAGAAAAGCTCTACTAGTTTCGAGCCACAGAGGGACTCTTGCTCATGAGCAGCGTGCTAGTAGTAACTAGTAGAGCTTTTAATTAATTGGGCACTTGCCAACTAGTCAGTCTAACGACGGTTTTCTATGCATTTTATAGAGGTATAAGATTGTGTATTATGACGTCACGTTTTTCAGCGTCATACAGCGTACTTATTACTTAAAAATTTGCTGGAAAAATACTAAAATTCAGTTCTTTATTAAATCAATCAATGAAGGTGTGATTATTTTTTAATATTTTTTTGTATTGAACAGTTGAAATAATTCATCATCAT